AAGTCTTGGAGCTAGACCCTCTCTCCTTACCTGTTGCTTCTACCTCAGCAGGAGGCTGAGAAGAAGGAAAAGCAGCTGGAGATGTTAAGCTGTTTCCCCAAAGCCCAGGCAAGCCCCAACTGGCCTGCCAGGGCCCTGCTAATCTGCCCTACCACCGCAGGGAAGAATTCTAATCGGAAAGCACTGGAGGGGCTGGGCCCACGTGGGGGAGAGGCACGCTGTTGATTTTATTCCAGCGCTTAATTGGTATAATTGCTCTCTTCCGCCTGCCAAACCAGAGTCGGAGTTGGCTCTCCCACCTGCGGGCGGGAGCAGCTCTGAAAGTTCTTAGTCTCCAGAGGCAGGTTCTCCTGGCTGTACAGAAGCCCCCATTCACTCCCAGATGGCAGGGAGGCCCACTTACCCCAGAGGACTAGGCACCCAGGGAGAGCATGAACCCTGACTCAAAGTGTCTGGAAGGGTTTCTTCAGAAAGTGCCCCATCCTATGAAGGAACCAGGTGGGGAAAGAGTGGGAGAGATTTCTCTGCAGCAGGGTGCTGCCTCTTGATATTCTCTAAGAGTGGGGTGACCCTGGGCCGGGGAGGGTGAAGAATAGAGGGGTGAGATTAAGGCAAGTTTACTGCTTTTCGCTGGGCTTTCTCCCCCAAACCTCTGGACGACGCCTTTGAGTCACTTGAACACAGCACACAGCCAAAGCCTCCAAGATCTACTGGTGCCAGGTGCCCTGTTCCTCCCTGGGGTCCCCGTGGCACCCCTAGATAGGCTAGCTGTTAAAAGGATAGAAGAAAAGGGGGAACAGCCAAGGACACCAGTGCCACACACAGGCCAAAGCGAGGATGTGTGTGGCTGCATCTAACAGCTAACCACCCACTCTCCATGAAGGATCAGAGTTGCCAGACAAAACTCAAATATTTTTCCAGATTTATCTTATTGGGGCTCAGTGATTAAAAGCATATATTGCTCTTGAAGAGGATCCAGGCTTAGTTTCCAGAATCCACATGGTTCACAACCATTCCTAACTCCAAAACCAGGGGACCTGATGCCCTCTTCTGACCTCCATGGGCACCAGGCATGCATATGATGCACATATATACGAGCAGGCAAACCACTCATACCCAAAAATAAATATAAAATTTAAAAAGATTTATTTTATTTTTAAATGACTTGCATGTGTTTGTGACTTGTGTGGGTATGTGCTGAGTGTAGGTGCCTACAGAGGACAGAATCATCAGATCCCTTTAAAGCTGGGTTTACAGACAGTCATGAGCTGCCAACGTGGGTGTTGGGAAACAAACTCAGGCCCTTTGCAAAGAGCAGGTTGTACTTTTAACCACTATACCATCTCTTCACCCCCTAAAATAAAAATCTTGCCAGGGACACACTTATACTAAAAAGTTATTCTTCCTTTATCTGATATTTAAATTTTACTGGGCATAGTTTTAAATATTTCATGAGACTTTTTTTTTTGCTAAAAATTTAATTGGGTAGCATATATACTTTTATTGTTGCTTGTGAGACAGGGTCTCACTTTGAACCTCAAGCTTGCCTTGAACTCATTATGTAGCCCAGGCTGGTCTTGCATTCTTGATCTTCCTGCCTGGTCTCTAGGTGTTTGTATTTCAGGTGGGTACCACCATACCCAGCTGACAGTGTGTGTTTGAATTCACTGTACCCAACAGTATTGCCCTGGGTCTGCTCCATCAGAGAGCCAAGCTGGCATGGGTAGAATGTGTGGTTTCCCTGAGCACCCAAACAGGAATACAGGATAGCATGATTATTTCTATGTTCTTGTCCTATTTTTTTCTGCTTGCCAATTTGCTTGATTTACCAAATTTCCACTTTGGCATTTCCCTGTCCCCAGGTATGAGGGACAGGGCTACAAACACCTGTGCTCCCAAGGCCTACAACAGCTCTACCATAGCATTCTAGGAGATGCATGAGTTGTGGAGGCATCCTGGCTTTCTGCCCGAGGAGAAGGAGACCTGAAGGCTCCTGAAATCTGTCCTTCCTTGAGAGGTTCGAGAAGGAGCCCTGTCCAAATGAGGTTGAAACATACTAGACCCAGGAAGTCTTTGGATGCTAAATGACTAGCCTGGTTGTGGTGGCCCTACCCAAGCTCTCCTGCCTGTGGGTTGCACCAAATGCAGGAGATGAACCGAACAGGATTGTGGTGTACACATGGAAGCATGCAATGCATATTTGTAGGCATACTTGGGTGTGTACACGTACCCATTCACAAAGAAGTGACTTCCTGGGGTTGACAAGACGACTCAGTAGGTAAGGGCACTTGCTGCCAATGAGGTGGGAGGGGTGAACTGACCCCTGAAAGTTGTCCTCTGACCTTCACATGTGTGCCCACAAACATTCAAAATAAATAGTAAATGAAAAACAAGATTTTTTTTGTAAGGGACTTCCATCTATTCTAGGCTTACAGGATTAAAAGCCACCCCCACCCCCAATCCTGTCTCACTTCCTGTCTCCTTATGTAGGTGAACAGGTTCTTGTCTCCTTTGATGTGCCTGGAGTGCCAGCATCACATAATGGGAGGCACATGGATTTAAGTATCAACAAACTAGGGTTCAAATCGCATGTCTTTGGCTCACTAGTTGAGTGACTTAGCAGCCCAACCCCTGTAGAGGTGGACTAGTCGGGGTCATCTTGTGGTAGTGTTGAGAGGACACAGGTCACCTACTTGTACCTGGCTCTGTATCTGGCATATGACAAGTGCTCAAAGAGCAAAACAGTGACTACTGCTCCTGTCATGATCATCACCGCAGAATTGCTTTCACTTCAGGGAAGGTGGCATCACCTGCACATGGAAACCAGGATTCATGGCAATGTGAATTTGCCCATTAGGCAGGCAGTTGTAGAGGACAAAGTTCAGACCTGTCAGACTAGACAGGCCCCAGCTCCCTGTCTCTTAGTGTTCTGCTTCTAATATTACCCTTCCCCAATACCTAAGTGACCTTCACTCCAGAGTGCCTTCCCTCCTTTTGCACTTTGTTTTGTTATTTGGGCTTTTGGAGGGAAAGATGTTTTGGAGGTAAGATCTCATGTAGCCCAGGCTGGTCGCCAACTCAATCTATACATATTATATATTTAATCAAGATTCCATATACAATAGAAAACTTTAATAGGGTTTGTCTTTCTGAGTCACATAACATAATCCTCAGATATATATTTCACTGCCACAGCATAACTTTATTTTTATATATGGGTAAATAAATCTCCATTGTCTGTATTTACCATGTTTTCTTTCTCTCTTCACCTGTTGATGGGCCTCTAGTTCCTTATCTTGGCTATTGTAAATAGTGCAGCAAGAAACACAGATATTCAAGTATCTGCCGCCAATCTATGCTTGATGTGGTGGGAGGTCTTTCCTAACTGTAGCCTTCAGAGTGTGTCCTAGTCATTTTGTCCTCATAACCAAAGGCTGTATGTCAGCCTGTCTATCATAGTCCCCTGGAGGCCAAGCTGGGGACTTTTCCCAGGGATGCATGAGATTATCGGGGATAGCACTGCTAAAGTAACTCAGGCAAGAGACAGACAAAGCACCGCTGACCTTTCTCAAGCAGGCTTGTGCTGTCGGCATAAAAGAAAACCACTTCTTTCCACTCTTTCAGTCAAACAATTCTCCTTTGGGTTTAGGACTGTGGACTTCAATCTTTGTGAACAAGACCTAAGGTTTCCATAATTTGGGTACCAGAGATCTGTGTGAGAGAGTCATGGCTCAGGGCTAAAACCCCTTAAGATAGCAAAGTCTAGGCATTCAAGAGCTTGACACAGATCAGCTTGCCTTTGCTCCATGGGACCAGCTGTACAGGATAACAGAGTTTTTATGTAAGCCCCAGACTAGGAGGCAGAAACAGTAGCATCTCATGGCTTGGGCACACCTGGGAAAAACTAATCGGACATTCTATTTTGCTGAGCTATTGAGATTTCTAGGGCACAAAAATATCAAATGTTTTGTGCCCTGGAATCTCTGTGCACACGGTCACCCATCCTTTGTATACCTGTTCTGAGAAACCGCAAATGAAGGATGTCTTAGTCACTATTCTTTTGCTGTGAAGAAACTCCATGTTCAATGCAACTGTTATAGGAGAAAGCATTTAACTGGGAACTGGCTTACAGTTTCAGAGGTTTAGTGCATTATCAGCATGGCAGGGAGCATGGCACCATACAGATAGTCGCTGGAACAGTAGCTGAGAGCTACATTCTGGTCTGTGGGCAGAGAGAAAGAGAGAGAGAGAGAGAGAGAGAGAGAGAGAGAGAGAGAGAGAGAGAGAGAGAGAAAGCTTGGGCCTGGCATGGGCTTTTGAAACCTCAAAGCCTACCCCAGTGACACACTTCCTCAAACAAGGTCAGACTGCTTAATCCTTCTAATCCTTTCAAATAGTGCCACTCCTGAAGACTAAGCATTCAAATATACGAGCCTATGGGGGCCATTCTTATTCCCACTAGAAAGGGTTTTACCTATGGCAAGCTTGGACCTTCCATAGGTCATTAACTTATCAGAGAGTCCCAGGGCTGTGGCAGAGGGGTTAAGGAACAGGTGGAGCTAGGGATGGCTCACAGAGAATGGCTTACATCTTTGGAGAGGCATTTTTCTTTGTTTATGTCTAGAAGGTATAGATTTTCCCTTCTGCCAGTGCAGGGGACAAGTCCCTTATATATCCTTGGGGTGGACAGGGTTGGGGGAAATGTCAAAGTCAGGTCAGAGGAGCTAAGGATGCAGGGGAAATACTGGGTATCACAGATGGGCGATGGCTTCTACGTTGAATCTGAGAGGAGCAGTTGGAATTATAAATAGAAATGCCACAAAGATCAAGAATTGTGGGGTTGGTATATGGGAACTTGAAAAGGTGGGGTACATGATAAGTGGTACTTGAGAGTGCAGAGTGCTGTTGGGGGCCTGGCTTTCCAAGCCCAGTGCATCCAAAAACTTGATCTGCAACCTGCGATGAACTGATCCTTCTCCATCCTCTTTTCCTTCCACCAGGCGCCTAGATGCAAACCTCATCTCCCTGGTTCCCGAGAGGAGCTTTGAGGGGCTGTCCTCTCTCCGCCACCTCTGGTTGGATGACAATGCACTCACCGAGATCCCTGTCAGAGCCCTCAACAACCTTCCTGCACTACAGGCCATGACCCTGGCTCTCAACCACATCCGCCGCATTCCGGACTATGCCTTCCAGAACCTCACCAGTCTTGTGGTGCTGTGAGTGCTGTTTTGGTCCCCACCACCTGCGGGCATGGGAAGCTGCATAATTCCTCCTCTTGGGTCAGGAGCTTTGCTTTCTTTGCATGTTGTCAAACCTTCTCATTTCAGTTCCTTCTCTGTAGATTATGATATGACCATCACTTGTGTTATCCTATGGAGTCATCCATAGGATGATCTCAAAGCCAGGTGACAGTAAGCTTATAGAAGTATACTCTGAAGGTCACTAAAGGGACTAAGCATCATTATAATCAGAAAACAGAAATATTACTATAGTCAGAAAACAGAATAGCATTTCATGTTAATTGGAATATAAATCAAGAGTTTCTTAAGTAATCCCCACCACCTTTTGACAACCAAAAGATGCAGTCGTATGCTTTGGCATAGGGATAGAATAAACCCATCTAATTTTGCAGGCCTAAAGAAGCAGGAAAGGCCATCGCATGTAATTAGATGTCAAAGCCCCAGCAGGGTAATTACCTGGGAGATAGCATCCCTGGCAGGGATAGGGGCTGGGGTTAACTCTGCCTTCCTAGTGGGAACTTTACAGTGCAAATTAGCTTCTAGCTAATTGCTATGAATGATTGGTAAGTTCATAGTCTAATTACTAAGGGCTTGGAGGTCATGTGTAATTGCTCTGGGTTACATACTAATTGCTGCAGGAACATGTATGTTAGTGACTCTGCTAAATGGCAGCATTGCCTCCTTTGTTCTTGGATATCTGCTGTGGTTTTCTAGGCCAGCGTGAAAGAATGATGCTTAGTTCCATGTGAGAGATGAAGATGTAGGTAGTAATTTATTTGTTCATTGTTCTGTTTCTGGAACTTAGAAAGTGAATATGAATGTCCCCAATGGAGTATTTCCTTCTATTGGAATGGCCATACCCTCCATCCTTCTGGGAGTCAGTGTGGTTGGTTTTAGCTTTGGTGATATCCCTGTGACCTCATATGGGAATGGGGTCAAGTCTCTGTGACAGACAAGATGACTGGAAAAATGAGAACTTTATGACGGGCCCTGCTACATGGGCAACAATATGCATTTACAGTGTGTGTGTGTGAGGGGTGGTGCTCGGTCAAGGTCACAGAAGAATGAGACAGAGCTGTTGGCCTGCAGGAACTTACAGGCTAGTTTCCTCTGTGAGGAAAGATAATCAAGGCAGTTATATGACTTTTGCTGCTATAGCTTAGGTGGTAGAGACAGAATCATAGCACAGGAGCAGAGGCCACACAGCTATGGGTGGGTAGGAAGAAAGCTTCACTGGGGAGGCAGGACTGGGGCTGGACATGGAGAGATAATGGGATTGGACAAGAAAAGAGAATTAGGGCATTAAGACATGGAGGAGGAGTCAGGCACTGTCAGCTGTTGGTGAATGGGGCCATCCAGCTGTAGCAGAGAATCCTTGTAGAGTGGGGGGGGGGAGGGGCTTGAGGGGAGGCTGAAGAGGTAACTCTGGGGACAGACAATGACAGAGGGAAGACTCTGGCTTTTATTTCCCAGTTGTGGAGGGAAGCTTACAGGTTTTCAAGCAAACATTAATGGGATATATTGGGATGGTTAAAGTAAAGGACAGATGGGAAAACAGAGAGAGGAAAATCAGGTCTGAGGCTCTCGTTTATCAAAGTTCAGTTTGGGATGGATGAGTGGGAGGATGCTACTGTAAGAGGCATATTGGAGAAGAACTGAGCTGTCTCAGAGGTTTTCACAGGGAGGAAGACCAAGTTGAAAAGGAGTCATAGATGACTTCAAGGCTTGGCTGGGAGTTGGGAAGCTGGCATGAAATTCAAGCCCAATATAGGTCTACAAGGTGTGGGGTCCCACTGAAAGGACAAGGGATTAAAGGAGAAAACTTGTACAAAGGACCAAAGGTGACACAGACCAGGTCCCTTGGCACAGGGTGAGGCTAGAAGCATCACTCCTCTGTCTTTTATTAGTGTGTGAAGGAAAAGTTTTGAGCAGGTAGTGATGTTGAAGGTAAAGAAGGCCGGAGGATGCTGTCCTGGGACTTTGAGATGAGCTGTGGGGAAGCCCAGGAGGCAGATAAGGAAGAATAACCACAAGAGGAAGCAAGAAAAAAGTTAGTTAAAAACCAAGGGGTAGGCTATGTGGTGTGTGCCTGTGCCTATAATTCTACAACTTGGAAGGCTGCGGCAGGAGGATGGCAAGTTAGAGACCAGCATGGGGTATGTGAGACCATATCTCAAAGTAACAAAACAGAAAAGCCTGAGGGGTGGATGGAAGCCTGTCAGGAGATACAGGCAGGCAGGTGTGATGGGAGGGACGGGCGCCCTCCATCAAAGCCTGCATTCTGGTGCTGCTCTGACATGTAGGAACCCTTTCCACATTGGTGGCACCAGAAACAACACTAAGTAGAATGTCTGGTAATGTCCCATATATAATCTTGTGAGCCCCAGCCTAGACCCCTGGCTGGGCTACCAGAGGTGCCAGAACTCTAGAGCTGAATGGGTAGTTCAAAGGAGAGAGGGAGAGGCCTAGAGCTAGAGGTCTAGAAAGTTGAGGAGGAGCTGAATGGGGAGGAGGAGAGGGCCTGGGAAGCCGATCGAACGGCATTTGGTGACAGCTGGGATAGAGGGGTGAAGGAAATAGGAAAAATTACCTAGCCTTGGTAAGAGAAGAGAGCTTATTTTCAGAAGGGCTGTTCTCCTACAAGACCAGAAGATTCCTGAATTTGGGGGAGGGTCTGTCTTCCTTACTGGGACCTGGTGGAGCAGATGGGGGATGGGAGAACAGAGCCTAGTTTGGCTCTCCCTGCCTAGCTGGATGGCTCTGGTTGAGCGCCCTCACAACTCAGCAACATCTTTGCCAGCCAGCCTGCTTTTTACCCCTCATAAGTGATTTCCCTTTTCTGCCTAAAGATGTTTGTAAATTCTTGAACTTTAACAGCGTAACTCAAATATGCCACAGTGTAGAAAGTTCTGCATCTAATTTTCCCGGAACAATGGATGCCTTTGAGGGGCGAATTCTGTTCTTTCTTCTAGAGAATTTTTTTTGTATTATTGTATCTTCAGCCTCCTGTTGGGAATCCTTTCCTTGAAAGACCTCAGTTACTGATGTACCCCCACATCGCTTGGTTTTTAACTATTTTAACCGTTGTTTTCCCTCTGCCATGCCCACCCTGAGTGTGTCCAGCTTTCTTTTTCTTTATCTTATTTTCAAGTGTGTGTGCCCAAATGTATGTTTGTGTCCCATGTGCATGCAGTGCTCACAGAAACCAGAAGAGGGCGTCAGATCCCCTGAGGCTGGAGTTGCATGTGGTTTTGAGCGGCCCGTTATGGATGATGGGGACTGAATCCGAGTCCTCTGGAAGAACAGCAAATGTTCTTCGTTATTGAGTCATCTCTCCAGCCTTGAGCCCAGTTTTCTTTCTGATATAAGTCAGCTTTCACCACTGCATTCTCTGTTCCTTGTTTCAAATTGATTAGCTCAGATATAATTATATAACATATATGACATCTATTATATACCATATATGTTAATAATGCAGTTTGGGGCCTTAGCTTCACTACCTTAACCTACAATGTCATGTTTCCTTTCATTCAATTTTTTATTTTTGGCTTGAAATATCATTTCTGTTGTTTTGTAGCAGAAGGCAACTGTGGTCAGTTTCCTTCTATTCCTCATTCATTGATTTTAATTTTTTTGAGACAGGGAAGCATGTAGTCCAGGCTAGCCTCCAACTCACTGTGTAGCCAAGAATAACTTTACTCCTGATCCTCCTGCCTTTACTTTCAAAGTGCCAGCATTCCAGGGTTTCAAGGCCACACTCAGCACTAATTGTATTTTCTTTAGGGCTTGGAACTTTGATGTCTCTTACGATCCCCTCCCTTTGTCATCCTGTGATTTCTTTCCTCTGGAACTCTCTCACAAAGCTCTGCTCCAACACATCATCTCTAGGCCCTCCTGCTTGTGCCCTCCAACCTGTCATATGTGCATTAAGTCCATAGAAGTAGATTTTGTCCCATTTTCTGTACCCTGGTGGGGTGGGTGAGAGAAGCAGCATGCTCTGAGGTGGTGGCCAGTCTTGGGTTGACCACCTAGGGCTGCTTCCTCTCTTTAAGTATGGCATTCACTCCCTCTACCCCAGTGCCCCAGGCTCGAACCTACTTAACGAGTAGCCTCAAGCTTTGGTTTTTCTCATTCACCTGTTCCCTTTGGAAGGCAGAGTAGGGTAGAAAAACAAGAATATTTGCATGGTTAGTTCTCACAAGCGAGGGGTTATTTTTTAGGGAGCAATCTCATATTTTGTTTTCTCATCTGCTTATTCTCTGGAGAAAGCACTGATGCAGACTTCCAAACTGTCTGTTTGGCCACAGGTTTTCAGTGTATCTATCTGCACAAGGTTGTGTGCCTTTCTCAACTTTTTGCTCCTCATGAGGGTTCAGGTGTTTTGGAGTTTGGTTTGATTATTTCTGATCAATTCCATCTTACTTTTGGTGAACTATTTACCTTGGGAATCTCTCCCAAACTTTCCCCTTTTCTACTCACAACTGTTCTTGCCAAGGCCTGCACAGACAGAGAGCCTATGCAACTTCCCGCCTCCCATCTCTGCCTGGAATCCCTTCCCTCTGCTCATGCAGATGGCCTGTCAAGGCCCAGCTGAGGATAGCTGCCTCTGCCAGGCCTTCCTTGCTGCCTCAGCCTCACCAGCCTCCCAGTTCACTCAGCATGACCACAGCTCTTTCCAGTTGTAACAAAGCTTAGCCTTTAATTATATGTTGTCTGCAGCGGTTTGCTGCTGGCTCCTCTATGAACGTCTGGCCACTGAGTCAGGCTGGCTGGGTCCTACGATGCAAGGCCAGAGAAGAAGCCTCAGATGTGAACCCCTATGACATCAGTGCTTAGTCAGAGCTTGCTGTAGCCTTGCTTGGGCTTTCCTCTTCCCAGTTCCTTCGCTAGGGAGGCAAAAAGGTATTTAGCTCATGGTCAAGCCTGCCTTGGCATTTGTGGCTTCAGGAATGGGTCTTGGCTGATTTGCCTGTCCTTGAGGAAAGGGGTTAGACCACTGAGGTCATTCTGTTTGTGCTTTGCTGCTCCTGCTGCTGGGTACACTCATCCACCCTGGCTGGCCCTGAGGTTGTGCCACCATTTCTGATGTGTCTCTTCTTCCCACACAGGCATCTGCATAACAACCTCATCCAGCATGTGGGAACCCACAGCTTCGAGGGGCTGCATAACCTGGAGACACTGTGAGTGGGAGATCCCGCTGAAGTCCTAGCCCGCTTGGTGATGACACCTGTAACTAGAGTAGGGGTTCGGGTTTAGGAAGGGCCAGCAGGGTATGATCTGGCCCCAGGCTTGTCACCCTTGTGTCCCTCCTGGGACTTTGCTCTGAGATGTCACTCAGTATAAATTCCTTCTCCCTTCAGGTGGGTACAGAGTGCTCTGCAGTGGCTCCAAATGGCCCAGGGAACAGGCATGCAAGACCCCTGCCAGCAGAGATGTCAGATAATGCACAAAAATGAAAGAGCTAGCAGAAGTCAGAGGAACTAGGACATGAATCTTGGAGACTGGAAGGCTTGGGGGTAGGGCTGGGACTGACTTGATGGCAGTTTTGATGTCTGCTTAAGGGTGGCTGCTGACAGAAGGAAGAGAATACCACAGAATAATGTCAGGACTGTTTGCCAGCTGATCTAACTAGCGAAGTGATTAATGGGGAGATGGCCCATTCAGCACCTCAGCCCGCCTATAAAAAGCACCCAAGCTGTTGACTCTTAAAAAGCCATATTATTCACACATCATCATCCAGGAATTCAGTTAAGGTCAGAATGCACCCAAGCCCTCCCATCACTTCCTCTGGAGGCCTGCCAGCCCCTGCAGAGTGGGCTGAGTGGGCCCCACTGTGCAAACAATCATCTAGGCTTTGCAAGAGTGACTGGTCATGCCAGCTGGGGTCTTCGGCTCCCCCGAGGGAACTGGCTGCCAGGGCCACCTGGTGCAGGACATGGGGTTGGGGGCTCTGGGAGAGGAGAGGCCCAAGTCACCACAAGTATGAGTCACTGAGGGTGGGGAAAGGCTTATGGCATCAGGAGTTGATCACAGTTCCCCTTGAAGCACCTTCTCTAGTTATAAGCAAGCCCCCATTTGCAGCCGCCTCCCCTCCCCCGACACTGCTCCTGAGGTGAGGGAGTCTTAGGAATCCAAAGCAGCAGAGGATAAAATTCTGGAAGATGTGCTGAGACTGGGAAGCAACATGCTGGAAAAAACCACTGCGTACACTCTACCCCAAGAGGCCTTGGCTACAGACTCTGTGGGTTGTGTGGGGAAACAGATGAGAGGCTCATACCTAGTCACATCTTATTTCCTGTTGGGATGGTTCCTAGGAACATGGCTGCTGCTTTCTTGTGCTCGGTGCGTCGCAGGAGAAATGGTAGAGGTGGGCTCAGTTCTCCTGGCATCCAGACTGTTTTGCCAACTGTATACCAAGGAGTGTAGTGTGGGACTGGACTCAGAACATTCTCTCTGTTCTTCCTATTGTGTAAGCTTGGACTATGTGTTCCTCCTCCATAGCTGTCACTGATGGCCGGACAGTGAAAACAGGCCAGTCTACTCCCCTAAATATTCATAAGAGAAAGTTCATTTCCAGGAAGGCTGCATCGTTCCTCCAGGATGATGGTTCCTCCCAGGTGTACACAGAGCAGACCAGGAGCAAACAGAAATGAGCAAACAGAAATCCTTAGGAGAGTGCCTTGTTATCCTATCATCAGTCAAATTCGAATTGGGTGAACCTACTGTGTGCTAGGTTTTTGGAGACTCCCTAGAGAAGCTCAGCTCCAGGGTGGTGCTGGGAGCTGCAGGGCAGGAGGGAGCTCACCATCACCCATCCTGGAATGTGGGCTGTTTAGCTCTGCTGGGAAATCAGGTGAGGATGGGGGCATAGATACTGGGTGTGGGTTGGCACCTCAAAAAAGCCAACAAGCAGCTGTTTCTTCACTTTTGGGGCACACTGCCTAACTCTTTCTCAATTAGCCACTGTGTTGCCATGCGGGGCATTTGGCTCAGCTGCTGCTGGCTGAATTATAGAGCAGGCCTGCCGCTAAGCACCCACTGTCTCTTTCATCTATCTTGGCCTCAACACACAAGGCCCCCAGGCTATGCCCACCTTGCAGATGGGAAAGCCAAGACCAAGAGATGAGGAAAAGTCCTCCAATCTTTACAGTGTGGAGACAAAAAACCCAGTGGTTAATCCCTTGGCAGCAAGCAACCTGGAGCCCATACTGCCAGTTCTCCCAGCTGGGTGAGCTCAGCCATTTGCCTACTAGAGAGTCTTAGTTTTCTAAACTATCTCACATAATGTCACTGGGTTATATAAAGTTGTTGCAGGGACTGTCAGACATACAGTCAGACCACGCCCTCCTCTCCCATTTCCTTCCCCAACCCTTCGTCTGAGGCTTTGTGTCTATGACACCCTGTTTCCTCCCCACCCTTGAAGAGCAAGCCCTTCTTCCAACTTTTGATCTCCAATTTAAAAAAAGGGGGGGGGCTGTTCTTTCTCTTCTGTTCCCCAGAGCATTTTTCGGGGAGCCTGCAGGGGAAGGCAGATGTGGAGGAGGAGGAGCGGCTGGGAGAATGAAAGGGGAAAGAAATGATAGTCAAGTCTTTTAATTGTTGCATAATTGGCGCACTCAGCAGCCTTGGCTATTACTCGGGAGCTTTCATGTGTACTTTTTGCTGGAAGGGTACTTCTCCCTCGGGCTCTGTAAATCTCTGCCACTTAGACCTCTCTCATCTCTGGCAGCAGAGGGAAGATCAAACCCCCACAGCCCAGGCTGTGGTTTGGCTCAAGCTGTGGTTTGGCTCCTCTGCAGCCTTCTCTTCAGAGGGAGAGCAGCCCCCAGCTTTACCACCTGGGAGGAGGGGCCAGGTGCGGGCACGTACATGCGTGGCCACACAGGCTCCCAAACTAGACACATGCAGCACACACAACACAGCAAACACCCTCTGCCATCCTCTCTCCATATAGACCCCTCTCCTCATATCAACGCAACAGATACGTGCTCCACGAAATGCACCTGGACAACCCTGCCTCTCTCAGTCTCTCAGCAATGAAGGCCAAGCTGTCAGTTCTGCTTCTGTAGGCTGGACCAGCAAAAGCACATGTTCTCACTTCTGGGAGCCCCGCTTCTTTCACTTGTACAAGAGGCTACCACAGCTGGATGTGATGGGAAGGCAGAGGTGGGAAGCTCGGGAGTTCAAGGCTAGCCTACGATACATGAGACTCAGTCTCAAACAAAACCAAACAGAAAAAGGGCAAACAAGTCATGTACCACACACTCTTTATTCTAAAGAAGCTTTGGGTAGAGTCTCAAGTGGGACTCTGTTATGCCCTCTGCTGCTGGGCAAAATCACAAAGCTCTTAACAACAAACCTTGCTGCTCTCTGGGGATCCTGGCATTGCCAGAAGGAATGCTTCTCCCAATGTGGTCATCACTATTCCAAACCTTGCCAAGAAGCCTCAGCCACAGGCAGACCAGGCTTGCTCTGTCCTGCATCCACAGGCCTTGGATTGCCCACGGTGACGGTGACGACCACTTTGGGGAAACTCCAAAACAGAGATGGACTAACCCTCCATCTCAGGAGTAGTGTGTCGTGTCTTCACGCTAGACCATTAAAGGTACTAGTACCCACAAGGGCATCAGTTCCAGGACTCCCTAGATATGTAGGTTGAGATATAAAAGAAATCCAGATGAAAAAAACTTTCAGGAAGATTCTCCTTGAAACAGGTGCCAAGGCACCTTGGTCAATCATTGGGATTTCAAGTTTGGGAAATACAGGCAGCTATGTTACCCTGACAACCCCCAGTTCCATCCCAAAGGGTCCCACCTTTACTCCTCATGTCTGGGTACTCGATGCCTGTATCTTAGCAGAACCTAGGGTGAGGGTGGTTCTAAACTATAGCACCCCAATTTCTCAAGCCCAGGCAATGATTTCTGGGCCTTGTTATGACCTTGTTAAACAAATCTGGTTCAGGTGGAGCCCAGGCTGGCTGGACATTTTCCTCTGGAAGAGAGCCTGAGCCTGAGTGAGAACAGAAGCCTCCTGGCTTCTTCTCTAATCAGGAGCAGGATTCAACACGGGGCTAGGAAGTGCGGCAGATAGGGCGGGACTTTATAGAATTCCATCCTGAAGTACAAAACTGTGCATTGCCCGTCAAGCCTCCTCTACTGACATTTCACTGATGTTTCCAAAGGACATTCTTACTTCAACAGTAGCTGTGGCTACAAATTGCACTCCTGTCTCTTTGTCATTGAAACCACAAGTATCAACAGGTTTCACTCTCAACTCACTTGGAATTGGCCCTGGAAGTGTCTGGCCACTTGTCTGCATTGGGCTGACCACCAGCCTTTCATCTGGAACAGAACATCAGGCGATTGCCACCAAGACTCTTCCAGGGCTTGGGGCATTCCAGAGAGGAGCAAGGGTTAGACTAGAATCAGCAGACTTGACACTGCCACTAATGAGTGGCATGCTCAAGTCACCTGACTTCTCAAAAGCTTCAGCTGTCACTAGTAGAGAATGAGGCCAACATGTTACAACCCAGAGGGCATTGCAAAGTTCATATTAAATAAGGTGACTCTGTGCAGCCTTAGGAGCACCACAGGTGCTTAGTTGATGTTGGCTTTCTCTTCCCTACTCACCACTTAGTGTTGGCTGGAATGTGTCTGAAGGTGGCGGGGAGGGTGCTACCTGGAGGTATCAATCCACAGGGCTCCACGCTGTGACTCACCACTCTATGATGAATCAGAATTCTCAGGCTCTCAGGACTACTATATTGTTTCCTGTGGCTGCCATGACAAACTACCACAAACTTGGTGGCTTAACAGAACAGCAATTTATTCTTCTACAGTTTTAGAGGTCAGAAGTTTACAATAAAGTGGTTGGCAGGACTGGTTACCTCTGTAGGGTTTGAGGCAGTCTGTGTTCTCTGCTTCTCTCCTCACTTCTGATGGATGCTGGCAATCCTTGGCATCCATTGGCTTAAAGACTATCCACCAGTCTCTGTCTGCATTCTCACAAAACTGTATTTGTGCCTTCTCTTATGGAATTCTTACCACTGGGTTTAGGGTCTGCCCCATTAACTAGGCTGACATCTGGAGACCTTTCGCTAGATTCTTCCTGCACAGGTGCTGTACCCAAGGTCACTTTCATAGGTACCAACAGTTAGGACTGAGCTGGGGATCTCTTTGGG